TTGTGTTGTTTTATTTTTTTTTAAAGATTTTATTTATTTATTTGAGAGAGAGAGAGAGCAAGCATGAGCAGGGGGAGGGAGAGGCAGAGGGAGAAGCAGTTTCCTTGTTGAGCAGGGAGCCCGATTGGCGGGGGTGGGACTTGATCTAGGACCCCGGGATCATGACCTGAGCCAAAGGCAGACGCTTAACTGACTGAACCACTCAGGCGCCCCTAAATTTGTGTTGTTTTAAGTCACTAAGTTACTGCTTTAATTTATTACAGCAGGAACGGGAATCTAATATATCCGGTGACTCATGAACACAAGTGGCTCGAGGCTGAATGTGGGGCACTGGGCAAGGCAGCCTATTGAAGAAAGAGACTGACTCTCACTGAATTATTCATCAATTAGTTCATTCAACAAAAATTTACTGAGCACTTTACTAGATGCCAGACACGGCCTGTGTACTAAGGATAGACAAGGAAAAGAGACAAAAAGCCCCTCCCCCCCAGCCCTGCCCTGGAAGTTTTATTCTAGCAAGGGAAAACAGACAATAAATAAGAAAAATAAGTAAAACATATTGTGTATTGGATAGTGGTAAATGCTAAGGAGAGAAATAGAGCAGGGCGTTACTGTTTGGCTCCTCCTGGGTCCCAGGGCTGTCTGGCCCCCACTTGTTGTGGGGCCCCTAGACTAGTGCCCTTAGGAGTCAGGACGTCCCTCAGCCTGCTGTCCCACAACAGAACCACCCCGTTCCTCCTGTTCCTGTGCCCATGCCCTGCGTGCAGGAAGCTTCCCGGGCAGCCCAGCCCAGTCAGCCCACAGTCTCTTTTCCCAAAAGGAGTGGTCACTCTGATGTCAGCACTTAACCTGAGGTCAACCCAATATCTTCCATGATGTGAGGAAGAGAACACATCTCTCTCTCCCCTGCCTTCTAGCCTGACACAGTCAAGGAGAGCAAACATCCCCACTCAGGGAGTCCAACCTCCTGTTCCCTTTCCCCTCCCCCCAGCCCGATCCCAATAAGAAAAGTGCTTACATTTCTATAGGAGCTGATGGTTAGGACTACCCAAGTCCCAGAGAGGCAACTCCATCTTTAGAGATTCTGTACATACAGAACACATCTTCCTTCTCCCACATCCTATGGCAGTCTCGCCCCACCCCTCTGAGTTTCTGGCAGAGAAAACTTCCTTGGGGAATCACCCCTTCATGTGAATACACCAAACCACACAATGGCTTCCAATCCCACCGAGCCAGAGCCCCAGCCCCCTTCTCTCCATCACCTCTCCCACCGCATCTGAACAACAGTGTCCCTGATCACTGTCAGATGCCTGGGGGAGAAAGAGAGAAGGAGACACTGAGAAAGCCAAAGAATGCAATTTGCCCCACCTTGCTCGCCCACTTGGTCCCTCACCCACTGGGTCGCTGCCTGTATGCTCTCGGTCTTGGTGACATCCAACAGGGTGGTCTGCAGGCGGTAAGAGGTATCCTGCTGAAGCTTCTGGGCCCCCTCCTCAGTGAAGCAAGCAGCCAGCACCCGCATGCCCCGATCGACCAGTTGCCTGGCCAGCAGGTTCCCGAAGCCCGAGTCACAACCCGTGATGAAGACGTACTTGTCTGAGAGGTTGCGAACGAGATTGCAGTTCTTGAACCAGCGATACATAGAGGAGAGATCAGTGATAGCCGCCATAGAGCAGGGGGAAGGTGATGGCCAAGAAGATTGGGCTCAGAGAACAGTGGAAGAGGCTGGTCCTCTGAGCCCCACCTGGCAGTCTGCTGGAACCCACTGAGAAGTGCTCTCCTCTCTTCCACCGCTGGCAACAGATCCAGGGCTCCTGGGTGAGCCACTTTATAATTTCTATAGGTGGATACATCAACACACCAATTAGCCTAGATGCAAGAAATTCAAGTCCAACCTGAAGCTTTGTGACCTCACACAGTCCTGGTGGCTGCCTCTCGCTCTCCCCCAGCCCTGATGGGTGAAGCTGCCAAGGATGGGAAAGACCTTGTTGGTGATGACGATGCTGAGAGGTGGCTCATCTTGCGTGGTCTGAGCAGTGCAGGTGAGAAAGGAGGACTCAGCCCAGAGAGCCTCCCTGGAAATCCCCACCTCTGGCCTGGGTATCGAAATCATTTGTCATGAGAGCAGACATGTCAATAAACTGAATTTTTATTTTCAAGGGAAAAAATTAAGACACATTCATTAAAGTAAAACAAACAAAATTGGTTTTGTGCCCCCCCAAACCCCAAAAGAAATGTTTCAGGTTACTAGCTCTTTGGAATTCTCTGCCCTTAGGTAAATCTCCATTATGAGAGATGAAGAAAAACAAAGGGTCTCTCCGAGGGTAGATGTGCCTCCAAGGTCCTGAGGCCAGAGGCAGCAGGGCCCTCCTGCAGGGAGGCTGTTTCTGAAAAGGGAGAGAGGAGAGGCTCCAGGCCTGGGTTCTTGGGAGGTGATACCAATGAAGAGCCCCACTGCACTCCAGGCAGGCCCAGCTCTCCTCACTCAGTGACCAGGCAAATGCACAAAGTTAAGGACATAAGACATATCAGCTCCCCTGGGGCAGGGCCCCCAGTGGGCATTTCCTTCCACCTCTACGACTAGGCACACACTAGGTAATCCGGTGAGCTGAGAAGCCTGGAGGGGGTATGTAACAGTGGAAGGAAGGGATTATGAAGTCAACTGACACAGTGGCTAATTGGATGTACAGAGGTAGGGGAGACCAGGAGTCAAGGGGATTCTTTTTCTGGGGGGGCACTATTTTTATTTTAAATGCAAACATGGATGTTGGTACATGGTCATGAGGCAGCATTTAACTTGAACAAACAGCATACAAACAAGCAAAAGGCAGTTATTTGTGTACGTCTGAGGTTACACGATTAAATCTTTACTTGCTTTTAAAACTTCTAAAGTCTGATTTTGTATTTTGAATATATTCATTAAATCCCCAAGCTGACCCTACTATTTAAAATAACCTGCTTTGGAAGGAGAAAATTTTAAGAAAAAGACAGAGTTAACAAACAGGGTTGCTGGAGAGGAGGGGGGGGGGGGGAATGGGGAAATTGGGGGATGGGCATTAAGGAGGCACTTGATATAATGAGCACTGGGTGTTGTATGCAACTGATGAATCACTAAATTCTACCTCTGAAACTAATGATACAGTATAAGTTAATTAAATTGATTTTAAATAAAAGATTAAAAAAAAGGACAGAGTTAAAGAATATCTTTCATTTTCTTTGTCATCTGTTAACTCAAACAACTGCTGAGCACAATCCTTAATTAACTCATCCAAAGCATCTTCCATTGCTGATAAGTCAGAAAGTTCCTCCTGCAGCTTCTTCTGTTGGGGCACAGCTCCAGAATTGCTAAGATCAGATCCTATCCATCGAATATGGTTCTTAGACTTTTTTTTCAACCAGATCGATTCCATCTAAGACATTGGTGATGTCATACACTCTTCATTTCCGCACTCCCAGTTTTGTGGCAACCTTAAGTCGAGAATACCCCCAGGAGCAGATCTGACAAGATCCATAGATTTTCGAGTTAAATAAACCAAAGATACATCAAAACGAGGTCTCTTCACTTTTAGAGCTTTTCTCATGGACACATACACACCGTTGCTGACTCATGCTGCCCAGCCGGTGGTCCCTCGCCTTGCACCCAGCGAGCTCTCCCGGCTTCTCCCGCTCCGGCCAGGTGCTGCCCCCAGTGCGCTGGGACCCGGAGGCTGAGCACGAACTGGGCCCGTGGCCTGCTTGGTGGCGCCGCTGCCTAGGCCAGCCCGTGAACGAACACACCACTGCCCCATGATCTCGGGAGCTACAACACAGATGGGAAGAGAGCAGGGTGACCCACGGCTCTCAGGACTCCAAGCCCGCCATCTTCCCGCATGCGCCAGTCAAGGGGATTCTAAAGTATGGGGCTGATAACTGGTAGCACCACAAGTGGCAAGAGAAGTCAGGGGTGAGGACGCTTTGGGTATAGGGAAAGAAGGCAGGAGATAGAGAGTTATGATATGAACATCACTGAGATGAGGTCCAGCCAGATGATGAGGACAGGCCATGAGTTCCCTGGGCAGCTGCAGGAAGGGCCTGGGGCCAAATCTTGGCTCTGAGAAGGGATGACATATGGGAAAAGCAGAAGACCAGAGTCAGAGACTTGGAAAATTCTCAGAGTCAGGACGTAGAGGGGAGGGAGAGATTCCAGGAAATGGGGCAAAGAACTCAGAAAAGTTAGGAGGGAAGCTGGTAAAGCAAAAGAAATAAGGAGATGAGACAGAGGAGCCACACCTAGGACCCTCAGATGCAGGGACAGAAGGATGTTGGGGTCTATGGCGGCTCTGGGAATAAACCTCTAGAGACACCATTCCCCCAAGATGAGCCTGGTCACCAGCTCATCCTGAGGGACTGGGGGCCAGCCACCCACACCTTCCCTGTCCAAAGGGTCTGATAGAAATGAAGCCACAAATTTCCTAAGGTGAAGAGACAAGGATGCATCTCTACGCTCCACCATCTACCAAGGTTGGTAAGCTTCAGAATCAAAATAACGCAGGTGTTGCCACAGAAAAGACCAGAGAGCTTGGCCATTCTAGAACAAGGGTGGTGGGAGTGAGAGGTCAGATCATGGGCACACCCCTGGGGTGCAGATCCAAACCCTGTGTGAGAGAGAGGTGGGGAGTGGCGGAGGCAAACCTTACCTACGGCCCACCCAGCCCAAGGCACAACACCTACACTCAATCTGGGAGGTATGTCCAAACTCTGCCTCCCGTGTAAGTGAACAGGGAAATTTTGTCTAGGGGAAGTCAGACAATGTCACTCAAGGGCTGAGCAGTCCCAGGAGTATCCCAGTCCTTGAGAAGACAGGTGACATCTAGGGGTTGTCTCTGGATTTAGAAAAGGATGACGTGGAACTACCCCAACACAGGACTGGGCCTGACTCACCATTTCATGGGCCTCTCTGCAGACTGATGGTCAAGGCAGTGTTCCCCTGGTTCAAACTCCCAACAGCTACAAAAAGCAGGTTATGCAGTTGGGAATGGGAACCACAGAGAAGGGCTCTTTTCCTAGGGCTAGAAATGCCCCACTCTCAGATGACAAGTCTCCCTGCTGAGTACCTGAGGCTGAAGTGTTGGGCTGGTGGTTGAACACCATTCACACCTCTGTTCACTAATATCTTCAGCAGAGAGGGGCCATCAGCTCCTCCAGGCCATTTCCAGCACCTACTACATGGGTGAGAATGAATGACACAGCAACATCTGACCTCGCTGTTTTCACCAAGAACATTGGTGTCATTCTACAGTATCAGATCCCCCTAAAGGCTCCATAGCCTCGGTTTGAAAGTGAGGGAAGAAAACTAAGATACCTGATGAGGCAGCTCAGTTCTGGTTTGTCCTCAGCCCAGGAATCTGCATCACTCTCTGCAAATGCTTCCTCTGTTCAGTCCATGCTCAGAACATCATCACAATAGCGAAGACAGAGAGAGTCACGGTCTCAGGAAGTGCTGGGTAATTAAGGGAATTCCTGCCTGGCACACAGTAGGCGCTCAACAAAGGTTAGCAGAGAACAAAAGACTGGGGTCCAGAAGTGACTCTTACTCTCCTCCACTGGAGGATGTGGGAAGGGGGATCTGGGCTGGGGAAGTTGGGGATGGCCACAGTTGGGGACATAAATCTAGAGGAGGGGAGAACAGAGGGCTGCAGAGAGGATGCTGCTGAGGGGGCAAGCTTGATGTCCCTGGGAAAGGACTAGGGTCTGCCAGTGCTTCAGCAACTTCTCCTTGTCTGTCCATCCTTGGGTCTCCTGTGACCCCACATTACTTGATAAATCCTGGAAAGGAAACATTAGCCCCCACTTCTGTGGAAGGAAGGGGGCGACCTTGAAATCCCGCCCAGGTTACCCCATTGCTCCCTTGATCTCTGTGAAGGCACCTGACTCCTCCTCTCATGGACTCACACCCCACTGCTCCCCAAGGCCACGGTTCCAATCACCAGGCCTAAGTAAACTTTTCAACTTTTATTTTGAGGCAGAAATAATCAATGGACTTCAAGGTTTCAAGACAACTCAACAACTGGTTTCTCTTTCTTTTTTTCTTTCTTCCTTTTTTTAGGTTTTATTTATTTGACAGAGAGAGAGAGAGCACACAAGTAGGGGGGAGGCACAGAGGGAGAGGGAGAATCAGACTCCCCGCTAAGCAGGGAGCCCGATGAGGGGCTTGATCCCAGGACCCTGAAATCATGACCTGAGTTGAAGGGAAGATGCTTAACCGTCTTGAGCCACCGAGGCGCCCCAATAGCTGGTTTCTGTGTCCTCTGTGTCCAATTATAAACATGTCCTTTTAGTCAAGGTCTGTGATTTGGCTCCTCAGGCTAATGGGTCGGGCTGGTTGTCCCCATTCACATCTGTTCTGGCATTAGGTATCTTCAGTGGAGAGGGGCATTAACTCCCCCAGGCTATGTCCATCCTGTGGGAGGGGGACACCCTGAGTAAGGGGACAGAGGTAGAGCAGGTGGGCGCTGAGACCTCCCTGCTGCTGACACTCTGCCAAGAGTATGGGTTCCTCAAGGTGGCAGGAGGGCCAAAAAACTCAGAACCTTGAGAAGCCATTCAGGGAACAGGGCATGTGTGTGTGCTATTGGGTCCCTGTTCCTCAGCCATGAAACTTGGTTCTTTCCTCCTGATATCTCCAGAATCCTGAGTAATATCCCAGGAAAGCCTGAGGAGGAGGTGGGGAGGAAGGTGAGATGAGTGTCCTTGGTGACATGAGATCCCCCTCTCTCCATCTCCCTGCCAAGGCTGCCCCACCCTCACATAGGATACAACTCCTTCCTACCTTGCACCCCAGGCTTGGGTTACAGAGCCTTAATGGGCCTCGGAGAACTCCAGTAGATCATGGTGTCCACCAGCAAGGTGGGCATGTAGCTCATGGGGATGTAGAGGAGCTTAGCATCCCAGCCTGGGGAGTATCGGGTGCGGGGGTGGCAGGCTGTCAGGGCATGTTCCATGCAGTTCGTCACCAAATACAGGTTGTTGCAACATGCTGACTTCAGCTTTTCAGTTGATTTCTTGACTGTCCAAAAGGAATGACATAGTCTCACACTCCAATCTTCTTGCTTTGGAATCAACTGAAGAGAAGAGTTTCTAAAAGCACCCCACCTCTCCACTGCTCCCAGGTCATCTCCAGGGGGAATCCATGGATTTCACTGGAGTGTGTCCCACCTCTTACCACAGGAAGGCTCTCCACACTAAGCGCCCTCTGGCTCTATTCCTGGGAATATGTGCTCTGCAGAACCGAGGTCTCTACAAACACCAGACTTCTAAGCACCTGACAACCAGCGGTTCTCACGCCAGCTTGCCAGGAATCCACGCCTCTCTTCTTCCCCCTCTGGCTTCAGGGTCCTCCCCAAACAACGAGGGCATCGGAGGAAACAGCGGTCCCCAGGTCTGACAAGCCTGGATCTTCCCTGAGGTCACCAGGGACCACATGGGACCACGGGGATGGAACAAAATGTCCCCACTGTGTGGGGGACTCTGAGCCTGCAGGAGGGGCGCGGGTCTGTAGGAGGCGCTAGAGGTGGGCCCAGGGCAGCCACACAAAGGTTTGCTTCCTTCTCCCCAGCCCACAGCTCACTCACCAGACGCCAGGAACTTCTCCCCATAGAGCTCCTTCAC